CCCGCACCGGACGGAGCTGTCACTGATGGTGATCCGAGTGAGCACAGCGTGTTCCGTGCGAGGGTTGGGCCTGGGACTCGCTGCTCCCATCCCGCGGGGCGTGGGCTGCTCCACCCGCGGGGGACTGTCCCTGTCCCCCAGCCCGGGACACTCTCCGGGTCGTGTTGTGTCTCCCACAGCTCTGCCAGTCCCTCCTGAGCCACACACTGCTGACTCTAGGACACCTCAGTGTCATCTTCTTCTCTCAGCCAAGAAAACTATTCCCTTGGTTTTTCCTGCTTGTTGATGTGGTGGGTGAAGTGGTAGAGTTCATCCGGCTGCTCCCAACTGTTGATTTTTTAGTTGGTTTAGTTTTTATCTCGGTTACAAGTTGGGTGTAATCGCAATAAAAGGCCCAACTTCGTGTCCCACAAGCTGAAATCCAGATCTGCTCCTTTACTCATGGCAACAAGAGCTGCTGTTTCCCTTTGGGACAGCAGAGCTGGGGGGAGGATCACAGACTCGTGGAATGGTTTGGGCTGGAAGGACCTTAAAGCTCATCCAGTTCCACCCTCTGCCATGGGCAGGGAAACCTTCCACTCACCCAGGTTGCTCCAAGCCCCATCCAACCTGGCCTGGAGCACTCCCAGGGATGGAGCAGCCACAGCTGCTCTGGGCAACCTGTGCCAGAGCCTCAGCACCTCACAGGGAACAATTCCTGCCCAATATCCCATTTATCCCTGCCCTCTGGCAGTGGGAAGCCATTCCCTGTGTCCTGTCACTCCATCCCTTTGTCCCAAGTCCCTCTGCAGCTCTCCTGGAGCCCCTTCAGGCACTGGAAGAGGCTCTGAGGTCTCCAGGTTTTTTTTCCCCAGGTTGAACCCCCCCAGCTCTCCCAGCCTGGCTCTGCAGCAGAGGTGCTCCAGCACTTGGAGAATCTCCATGACCTCCTCTAGACTCAATCCAACAGGTCCATGTCCTTCCATCAGGTGTAACATCCCACACTTCACCTACAATTCCCCCTTGGCTGAAGCCTAAGGCAGATTCACAGGTGACATGTGGATCCTCAAGTACCACAGGACAGAAACAGCCTCAGAGCACCCCAAGGTGTGTCCTTACACCCTTCCCAACCTCTGTCCCTCTCCTGCAGGCCAAATCCCACCCCTGACCCAAAGCACCTGGGGCTAAACCTGCTTTTAAAAGTAGTTTATTTGGATTTTCCACGTCCTTGAATGAATCGCAAATATATTAACGGAAAAGACTTTTTTCCCCCCCAAGACTGTACAATTTTCGAAATGAAAAGTCAAGAAAAGCCAAAAAAAAAATAATTACATTGTTTCAATGCAAATAGTAACACCACACCCACACTTTGCATTTTTCCATAGTTTTGTTGGAAGGAAATGACAGTTCCCTAATTGTTTTCAGTGAACATTTGCTCTCACCTGGTTCCCGGTGCCTCCTCCAGGTCACCCTCCTCCTGCCTGTCCCTCCTCAAAGAGCTAAAGTTTACTCATCTAATGCTCTGTGTCTCTCCTTAGAAGGTAAAATAGCAGCACAGGCTAAATGTGCCTCAGGATTCCAGGCAAAAAGGAAGAGTCACTTTGGGTATGATGCACATGGAAAGCCAGGGATGGTTTCAGGTACTAAACCTTCCCAGGCAGCATGAATGTCCTTTGAGCATCCCACCTGAATTAAGAGCTTTTTCCAGAGGGTTGAGGGGTTTACTACAGTTTTTAGGGAGTAAAAGAAAAGGGGGAAAGGCCCCTAAGTCACTGGATCTCTGGTCCCCATTTACACAACAGCATTGGTTATGGACAAGTGAATAGCACCTGCTTCCCCCTCCTTTCTGCTTAGAACACATGGTGGGAACCAAAAGGAAGCCAATTAACATGGTAATTAGCAGCATTCCATAAGTGCTGCCTCCAGACCTTATGCTGAGGAGCTGCTCAGACACTCCTCAGGGTGAGGGATGTGCTGGGAAGCTGCCACAGGCTCCAAGGCTGGATGGGAACACCACAGCAGGAGACAGAGACAGCTCTGCCCCCAGTGCAGATCAGTCTCAGGAAACCTGAGCCTGTGTCCTCCCCCCTGGGAGACTCACCAGGAAAGGGAATCACCCTCCAGCCACACCAAGAGCTGTGAGATCCAGAATGCTCCATCCAGCCAAAGTGGGCCATGATTCTTCCAGTCAGACTTTGCAGGAACAGCTGATGCCAAGTACACGGCAGAGGCACAAACCTCCCTTACCATCTCATCATTCCTCAGAGGTTCCTTTTGGTGCTGCCAGGGGAGTTGAAGCCTATTTGTTACTGATCATCCTCCAAAAACCCAAAGGATTCTATTTTTGCTCAGCACTTGGGGCTGATTTTTCCAAGGATAAAAGTATCTGTGTGGCTCCTGAGCAGGGAGGAGCTGGGACAGAAACTGTACCCAGTGCACAAGGACAGAATATCAAAGAAACTGAAGTGCAAAGGTAACTAAACCGCCTAAAACCCAACAGATTAAAGGGGAAAAAAATAAAAAAAGGACATTAAGACTGATCACAACAAATCAGTTGCTATGAAATCTGTATCATTCCCAATTTATTAGGCATAAATTGCTCTTTAAAACTGCTTATATCATACACTTTCTTTATCATCACTGCACAAAGGGCACCAGTGGCTGCTGCAGAATGCTACAGAGAGCAGTTGGGACTTGCTAAAGTGGTGCAGCTTTCTCCTCTCCCCAGCAGCCCCTGGAGGAAAGGAAAGTGTTCCTAGAGTGAGTAACCAAAAGAACAGCTTAAAAAAATAATAAGGAAAAAAAAATAAGACGGATAAGTGCACATTTTTTTTTTTTTTGCTTTTTTTTTTTTGCGTCCTGCTTGGACCACACCCGACAAAACAGGTCTAGAAGTGATCACAGATCTAATGAGTCACTAATCCGAGATAATTCTCTGATGTGTTTGACCAAGGTTCTGATTGTATTAAGGCTTCCACGGTCTTCCCAGTCCCCAGGATTGAGGGGTTGATGTTGTCACATTACAACTTGTAGCTACATTTCTCTCTTGGTTTTTTGCCCTTTATTAATTTTTACTCCTAAAAAGGGGGGGGGATGGGGAATATGAACAAGTCAAGGGGTGTATGAAAAACGAAGTGAGGTGGTGCTGACTGAAGCACAAAGTAAACACTGACCTTTCAGAACCTGTGTGAATAAATTAATCCATGGTTAGAACATGAAAGCATTGACTGAAAGCTTTAATTCTGCCATGTGATTCTCCTGCAGTTTTCACTCTAAGCAGGGACACAGGGTGCAGTCTGACATGCTCCCAGGCCTGTGTTTGCTCACTGGAGACACTGCAGCTTTAAGGTCATTGACATTCCCTGGCATTTAACTTACACTACAATATGCAAAAGTCTTTTTCTTTTTTTTTGCCTTTTTTTTTTCTTTTTGACAGCCTGTGTGTGTCACCACTGTCCTGGGAGAACTTGGAAATGAGGTTCAGCACTCTGCTTACCAAGAAAGACTCAAATGAAGACACAATTCAGGAAAAAGAACAAGACACTGCATCATTATTATTATCCCCACAGATACTGGATTCCATACAGCAAACCACAGAAGTCTGTCTTCCATGATATTGTTTTCCAGTAAAGGGGAGTCCAAAAAAAACAGCATTTCCTCTTCAGTCAACTTTCATAAACGTGTAAGAGCCAACGAGTCAGACTCAGTAGCAGCTGGATATTGCACTGCCATGAACTCTGGTACAGTTTAAGTCTGAGGTGCACTCGTGGTGTCAGTGGAGAACAAGGACAGTGCTGGCTCAGTGATGTGAAGACCCAGGATGCGAAGGAAGGGGAGAACACGACAGTACCAGTCACACACTCAAGCTCAGACACTGCTCTGGAGGTTAAAATTCATCACTTTCAACTGCATGGAGCTGTGTGTCGTCTGCATCCGTCATGCTGCTCTCCTGGGACTCATCTGTGCCAACTGCAAGGACAAGAGACACAAAGGAGTCAAACACCTCTGGCTGATCCACTGCAGAGATTGCTCCAGCTCCTCAAAAGCACAGCAGCAACAGGTTTGGGCTTCCCCTCAGCATGCCTGAAAGCCATCTGGCTTCTCCCCTTTTCCTTCTGAAGCTGAGCCCTGACAGCTTGAGGAAGTCTATGTAAGTGAGAGAATCTCAGAGTGGTTTGGGTTGGAAGGGCCTTAAAGCTCATCCCATTCCATGCCCTGGCCTTGAACACTTCTAGGGCTGGAGGAGCCACAGGCAAAGGCAGAGACACCTTCCACTAGCCCAGGTTGCTCCATCCTGGCCTTGAACACTTCCAGGGCTGGAGCAGCCACAGCCAACAATACCTTACCTAACCAAAATAGTATCAAGAATTTTCCCTTCCCCCAAAACTACCTTCAATTCCTTTAGCTTCTCCTGCAGCCTAAGAGTCACTCAGCTGAGGCTGTGGAGCTCCTGGACAACTTCCCTGCACAGCCAGGGAAGCCAATTGCTCCCAGAGCCAAACACTTTTGGTTTGTTTATGTTTATTGGACACGAAAGAGAGGAACAGATTAAGCTGTTGGGTTTCCTTTCTCCATGTGTGTCACGTTTGGTTGGCTCTGGGTGGGTGTTTCATACAGCTCAGGTGTGGCTCAGCAGTTCAAGCCTCTGTCTCCATCTCCTGGCAGAACATGCTCAGACTCTTGAGCAAGCCCAATTCCAAGGGCAGGGAGAGAGAAACCTCTGGATACCTCAGGAAGTGCAATGCAGGGTAAATTTCCCATACTAAAAAGCACAGAGGTCACTAAAAATCAGTGTGACCTAGAGTTGTCACCTTTCCCCACTGCTGCTGTCAAGGATTTGGACACAGCAGATGTCTAGTAATAAGAATCCAAATCCTGACATATATTTTCTTTGCAGGAAGGGAATTAAATTGCTTATTAGCCTTTATTTTCTCCCTCCTTCAGTCTGCAGAGAGGTCACTATGTAGGACTGTCCATGCTTTGGGGGATTTAAGCTCCTAATCCAAAACTGAGAGAGAGGAGAAACCCAAGGCTATTCCTTTTGGTGAATTATTGCCAGGAGTGGTTTATTTTCTCTTGATTCAAACCAGTTTCCACGACTTCCATCAAAATCTACCTTTTATGTTCAGCAGACCAAGTATTTTTACCCAACACCCTGTTTAACTCTGACAAAGCTTCTGCAATTTCAGTTGCCACTCAGTGACGTCGGAAGGATTTGATGCTTCTAAGAGGAAATACCTGCAGCTCTGGGAATATCCTGCTCCCCTGGGATACTATTAGCCAACCATGATGTGCATGAATTTAGTTCTCTCTGTCCTACTCCATGTCACAATCCTTTACTCCATTGCTTACTGCAGGAGAAAAGTTAATGGAGCCTGCTGAATGAAGAGCCCCAGGAGCTGAGATTGGCTGAGCAGAGTGTTTCACTCACTAAACTGAGCTTCTCCCTACACCTACACCTAGGAGGAGGTGGAAAAGACCTCCCCAAGAGACAAAGGGCTGGAGACAAACCTGACTCATAGGGGTAACATTCACTGATCTGCTCCTCTCGAGTGATGGGCTCCTCATCGTCAGGAAGGTAACGTTTGTCAATGGCCTCTTTGATCTGGTTGTTGGCTCCTTTGGGATCCAAGTCCATTGCCCAGGAGAAATTCATCAGGGCCAAATGTGTTTGACCCAGTTTTTTATACACCTAAAAAGAAAAGTAACAGCATATAAAAGGCTGCACATGTACACCAAGTTGATACTTGAAGGTTTGGGCAACAAATGTGCCACAGGGAGTTGATGTTTTATGTGAAGAGACAGAGGTGGAGAGGAAAAAGTTCCAAGTCCTGAGGGAAATAACAAATCTCTGTAGAAAGAGAAATGTTTCTATTCAAAAATATCACAGAATCCAATTAAACCAGCAGCTGAGGGATTCTCTGTCCTTAAGGACAGATGACTAATGTCAGTTTGGGGGTTGAGCTACTCCAGGACAAACCCCAATCAACACATTTCAGTCCAAATCTTTTCACCTCTCTTGGATTTTACCTCTCCCCAGTATAAAAAACCTTGCTGACTGGGAGTTCTCCAGGACTGTGCTGAAGGTTAGTTTGTCTTGTTGCTACCAAACACCCCAAAAGAAAGTTGCAAAAGTTGTTTAAAGCTCCTCAGCAGAGGTTGTCCAGGGAAGCTGTGGCTGCTCCATCCCTGGGAGTGTTCCAGGCCAGGCTGGATGGGGTTGGGAGCAATCTAGGCTAGGGGAAGGTGTCCCTGCCCATGGCAGGGAGTGAAAAAGAGCATCTTTAAGGTCCTTCCAACTCAACCCATCCTGGGATAGCTCTTTCAAGCTGCCAGTGGTGCAACCAAAGCAGGCAAAGAATAAAGTGGCCTGGGTTATTTTCTCTGGGATTGTTTCCTTGCAGGAACAGCCTCCAGCTCTCTTTAACTGTCCTCTGCATTTATAAGCTGATACATAACAAAGCTGTGAGCACTAAGCCTTATTTAAAGCCTGGGGGAATTTTTAGAATACTCCTCCAAGTGGAAGCAGCTTAGAGACAGGCATCAAATTCAGTCATTAAGCATAGCAAAACCTAAAGAACTTGTGATCACACTGAAGAATGTACTGACCTTTCCTATTAAAAAGTAAACAAGAGACTCTTTGGGAACAATCTGTTTCAGTTCTTCAAGTTCTTGTAAAGCAGACTGAAAGGAAGAAAACAGAGGGTAGTAAGTACAAGCCACAGGCTGCAAGTTGTGACATCACTAAACAGACTTAGCACTAGTGTGGAAAAAATAAATCCTGCCATTTCCATACAGTGTATTCCCTCGAGAACAACAGCACAACCTCAGGAGAAGCACTGGAATCCCCTTCACATAGCTTCTCATTTCGAGTTGGTAGCATCTTGCAGCCTCATCATGGCAGAAATAAGAGTTTATTGGACTTTGGTTTCCTAAAACACATCTAAACCCTGATACAGAAACTCCCTCCTGCCCCAACAAGGTTGGACAGTTGCCCACAGTAGTCCCAGTGGGCAACTCCTTTTGTATGCTGAGCTTTAAAACACAGGAGTACTGATGTGCTCTGTGCTGGATGCACTGTCTCAAGCCTGTGCTTTTCAAAGGTTCTGGGTTCAGGTGTCTGTTCAGGGACTGCCACAAATGACTGTGCTTCTATCAGCCATTTGAAGCCCAAAATATTTAGTGAAGCTTCTACTTCACTTCTGAACTCCTTGTTGATGCTGGAGCTATTTATCCTGTCGTGACAGTCACCTGGCATTGCTGAGAAATTCCACCTAAAATACTCCATCTGCAGCTAGAAATAACCCTTGGGTTTAAAGTTCCATTCCACCCACTAACACCTGTTATGTGAAGACAATTTCAAGTCAGGGATTGCCACAGAAATCAAAGTGTAAACCTATTTATTTACCCAGAAGTAGCCAAATTTATCACCCTGTCACAATTCTCTTAGTGCTGGTGCTAAAACCCAAAACACTCTGAGTTTCATGTGGTACATGTGAACAGCATAACTTGAGTCTTGCAAGTCTCAGCCTGACAAAGAGCACAAATGTTTTCTTCCACTGCTTCACCAGGGTCAAGGAATTCCTTCACCAGCACAAGGACAACGAGACAGTCAACTATTAGAGGTATTTTTCCTCTGCTTTTCAATTTTAAAACCAAACTATGAATGGAAACTTCATTCAGGCCTCAATACATTTCGTGTTTGATTGCTTCAGTTGCAAATGTACAAGAAGAGTTTTAAAGTCAAGTTTTCCCTTTCCATGTGCACACACATTTTTGAAGGAACAAAACCAGACTGTGGCTTGTCCTCTGGGGCCAAAACCAACAAGGCAGAGGAGAAGTCACTGGAAAGAGAGTGTGGGAAGAGCTTCTCTTGTTCTAAGCAGGGTTCAGGTCACCAAACTTGCTTAGCTTCTGGTTTTTCACTTGCTAACAGCAAGTTCTGAGTGCTGTCACTGGATTTGGGGCACTTGGCTGAGGTGTTTTAGGCACCAAGTGTAAACTCCTGATAACAGGTCAGGCTAAATAGTCATCAAAAAGCAACCCCTGTTGGCCCCAGATTTTATTGCAACCAACAGACTGAACACAGTTCCCTTGGTGCAGTGGCAAATGCTTCATGTGTTGCAGGCTCTTCCTCATGCTCCTCACTGTCCCTGTCCACATTCAGCCTCCAGAGCATCCCCATTCCCAGCTACAGGAATGTAAAGCTAACTCCAGATTTGCTGCCTGGGGCCACCTTACCTTGTACTTTTCATTTGCAAATAACACCGAGGCTCTGTGGAATTTGCATAGTGGGTTCTTGGGGTCGATGTTAATTGCTTTGTTTAGAGTGTCCAAAGCCTTTTCAGATTTTTTCAGTGCGTGCTGGACCTGCACAGAAAGGGAGAATAGCAGCTCAGCTGCCAGGCAAGGACAAACCCTTTTGACTAGGTTTACTTACCATCTGCTCCTTGAAAGAAATATCTGCCCAACTCTACACCAAGTCTGAACAAGGTTCCTCAGAGCACCTCGACTCCACCCCAAAACCTTCTCCCCACCCAAGGGCTGACAGAAATCGTTTAACCTTTGGCCAGGAGTGAACTCAAAAGCCTTTCCCTGTCTCCAAGTGAGCAGCAGTCACTACCCCTGTCAATCTGGCACAGCTTTGCTGGCCCAGAGCAGGCAAACGAGTGCCAGCAGGTAATCACCCATCCCTCCCACACAGGCTGAAGTCACCGCCACGAGTATCCAAGGGCTCCCAACTCTGTGAGCAGCTTTGCTGGTGAGGTTACTGTTTTCCAAGCAGGTGGATAAATGCCTGGCTTTTCCAAAGGCTCTGTACATGGAGCTGAGGGATGGAGGCTGAAGGGATCCTGTTAAATTCCACTTGGGCATGAAGTGGCCCAAGAATTGTGTTGTCACATCTACACCTGCCTGGAACAAGGGCAAAGCCACACACAGCCAGGACAGAACCACTGCACTCCTAAAAGGGGCAAAAGTGACTTTTCCACTGCAGAGGACAGGGACAGAATAAAACACAGGGATGGAGTGAGTGCAGTGTACTTACCACTCCGATGTGACACAGTAAGACTGAGCTCTGAGGGTTGATATCAAGTGCTTTCTGGAAATGCATTTCTGCTAGGCTGAACTTCTCCTGCTTGTAATAAATCATTCCCAGTCCATACCTGTAAGCAGAAAACAAACTGTATTTTAACCAAATTAAGCCTTTGCCAGTGTGTGTAACCTGTCAGAAATAGTTTGTAGACTTGCCAACCCCATTCCAGGGTGGGAAGGGTCAAAGATTCCCTCCCAACACAAACCATGCTGGGATTCCATGAAATGATAAGCAGTGGATATTCCTCCACAAGGAATTCTGCAGCACATGCAATATCAGGAGCTGAATCCATCCTTACCAAGCATTATAGTGTCGAGGGTTGACTCTGATAGCATTTCTAAAACAAGCCAAGGCTTTGTCTAGTTCTTCTGTCAAGACAAATTCGTGGCCCAGCAGGGTGTAGGCATAGGCATAGTTTGGATCCACTTGAATGGCTCTCTGGAAGAACTTGATGGCAATATCATGCTCTCTCTGCAAGCTGAAACAGTTCCCTGCTGCACACCAGGCCTGGAAAAAAAAAAAAACCAGCAGGGAAAGATTGGAATCCTTTTCACAACTCAGAGGGACTAAAAGTCTGAGCTGAACAGGTTTTTCTATCCTGCTTTACAGAATCATAAATAACCTCCCCCTGGATTAAAAAACAAGAGTAATCAATACACAGTGAAGTCTCATTCCTGTGAGGCCTAAATACACCTCAGCCAGACAAGCTGAAACACAGGAATGAAGAACCTAAGGACACCCAACAAGTCTGTGCCAATTAGATCCTTTGATGACTAATGACTAAGCTTCTGAAGCCGTTGAAAAGGCCAGAAATAAAACATCCTGGATATTCAGGAATAATGAAGGGGGAGATGGAACTTTCACTCTTCAGCTCCTCCAACTGGCAAATCTGGAATTCTACAGAGGAAAAATCTAAGCAGGAACCTCCTCTTTCC